CCCTCAGCGCTGGCTCAGCCCGACTCTTCAACCCCTCCAGGGATCCCGGGGACTCCCCCCTGCCCTGGGCAGCCCATTCCAACGCCCAACAGCCCCTTCTGCACAGAAATCCTTCCTCAGAGCCAGCCTGACCCTGCCCTGGGCAGCTTGAGGCCATTCCCTCGGGGCCTGGCGCTGGGGCCTTGGCTCCAGAGACTCATCCCCCCTCTCTGCCCCCTCCTGGCAGGGAGTTGCCGAGGGCCAGGAGGTCTCCCCTCAGCCTCCTCTTCTCCAGACTGAACCCCCCCAGTTCCCCCAGCCGCTCCTCAGAAGACATCAAAGCTCCCCTGGATCCAAGCTGGACCCAGCTCTGGCCAAGGCCGGGCCAACTAGCAATGGTAGCTGCGCCTCTGCGATAACATTTAAGAAAGGGAATCTAGGAGGAAGAGTTGGAGTTGTGAGGAGAAGTTGGGAAGGAGACACCTCTGCAAACACTGAGGTCAGTGGAAGGAAGAAGGAGGAAGGGGGGGAAGGTGAAGTGAAGCCCCCCTGTATCCCATGGTGAGATGGCAAGTTGCCCCCTGGAACCCATGGAGGTCACTGGAGGAGCAGAGATCTGCCTGTGGCCTGGGGAGGACTTTGGGACTCTGTGGGGAGAAGCAGCCCCAGCAGTTGTAGGTCGGTGCTGGGAGGACTGCAGCTCGCAGGGGGGATCCACGCCCGAGCATCTCGAGAAGAACATATCCCATGGGGAGGACTCACAGCCCAGAGTTTGTGGGGGACTGTCTCCCGTGAGAGGGACGTGGAGCTGGGGGAAGAAATGCAGAGGAGTGTTTCCCCCCCAGAAGGAAAGAGCAGCAGAGCGACCAAAACCCCCATTCCCTGGCCCCCGCACCACTGAGGGAGCAGGTGGAGCTACTGGGAACCAAACTGAGCCTGGCAAGAAGGGAGCAGTGAGGGGAGGTGGTTTTAAGATATGGTAATGCTTCTCACTGTCTCATTCTGCCTGTGGTGTTGTCGTTCACATTTTGAAATAAAGTGATGTTTTTTTCTCCTCCTAACGAGTCTATCTTTTGCCTGCGACCACAATGAGTGAGCCACCCCCTCTGTCCTCATCTCCATTCCTGAGCCTTTTGCTTCCCAGCACTGCGGGGAGCAGGTGGCTGCATGGTGCCCAATTGCCCTTCGGGCTCAAACCACGTCACCGACACACAAACGAGATGATTTTGCATCTTACGTTCACACTCCTCCACGTCCAGGTTGAACTGCTGCAAGGCGCCCAGCGTCAGCTGCCGCACTTCGGCTTCCAGCAGCAGCTGCATCAGCGAGGTGGAGAGGTGTTTGCACGCCGACATGCAAGCAGTCTGAGCCACCTTCCCCTGCAAGAGAAAAGGGAGATTTAATAAAGCCGTCGAGCACAAAATCACAGAATCCCAGAACCATTCCGGTTGGAAAAGCCCCTCGGGATCACCGAGTCCAACCCTCAGCCTGACTCTGCAAAGTTCTCCCCTACCCCACATCCCCCACAGCTCATCCCAACGGCCCTGAAACCCCCCCAGGGATGGGGACTCCCCCCCCCGGGCAGCCTGTTCCACTGTCATGGAATAATAAATAATTACAATAAAATGCAAGAGGAACTTCCCTAGACCAGGACTCATTGGTCCAGCCTCTTTAGGCCCCATCTGCTGGCGACCACCGTTTCCAGAGGGAAGCACCTTCTAGGACTCCCCGTGACTACTCGCAGGGTTAGACCGTGTCAGGTGCAGAGTGCCTGGGAGCAGCTCAAATCCAGGAGAACCTTGGGATGTTCGGAACTCTGAGAATCTCTTGTTATCGTGTCCTAAGATGGTGTCCTCGCCCAATGAAAGCAGCTTCTTGGCTGCTCCTGACTGCCTTTGCTCTCGGGGCTTCGTGCTAGTTGGGGCCTTTGGCCAATGGAAGCCACCACTGACCACAGGTCCGATTGGGCCGGGGTGTCAGTGGAGTCCCTGGGGAGCCCTTGGGAGCTCGTCCCCTGGAGCAGCAGCTGCGGTCGAGGCCTCTCCCCTGGGGTCAGGACGCTGCCCAAGGAAACTCTTGAAGGTGACTTCTCAGGACACTGCCCTGAGCAGGTCCTCGAGGTTGAGAGTCCTCACTTGTTGGGTGAGTGATAGAGCGTTCTGGGTTGTCGTTAAACCAAGGGAGTGGGGCTTTGTTCTGCCTTTTGGGTTGCCAATAAACCCTACAGAGTTCTTTGTTCTGCATTCTGGGTGACCATTAAACCCTAGGAAGTTTTTCTGTTCTCCTCTCACAGACATTTAAACCTGTAATTTGCAGAGGGCTACTTAATTGTGTTGACAACAAAATTTTTAATTTTTGGTGGTTGGTTGCTTATTTGAGAGCTTCCGTAACAGCAACATAACTAGATTTTATTCGACATCCTACACTGACTGCTTGAAGGAACCTTGTTAATAGGCCAAAATAGTGTCAATGACAATTCAGAGCTCCAGCTTGCAATGAAACCAGAGTCTCTCTATATTCCAAGACAGGAATTGCAGATGCTCATAGTTCAAGGTGTAGCCTTGGTTGGTGGGGAGTAGAGAGCTGAGGACATGCCGTTGTGACAAGGGTGTCTCTAGCATGTTGATGCTCTTCAGCCCATGTCCAGCACCGTGTGACACCTTCCAGATGCCAACGAGGATTGAGAAGCAACATCAAGGCAAGGAGGTGACTGAAGAAGTCAGTTGTGATTACATGGACAGGATTGCTCCCCAGGGCTGGGGAGGGGAGGAATAACCTCAAACACCCGGACACATCCTGCACCTGATTGTACCATGGGGAACAAGGTTATCAACACTCAACTTCTCCTGAGCCACCCCTAATTCGTGGTGATTAAACAGGGAGGAGGCCACAGACAAGGCTGCCGTGTGGAGAGAAACTACTTAAATCCCTTGAAATGTTTATGTCTATAAAAAAAGTATGAGAAGTTAGGAGTCTCAGCTATTAAGGAAATGGAGAACGTTGTCAGTAAATATTTATTTTTAACACATTTTCTCGGAGCCACCACAATTATGTTTCACTTTTGAGGAACAACTGAGATCTCAAGCTATAAATCATGTGAACAGGTCGCAGCAAGAGGAATTACCCTAAAGAAGCCTTACATTTTCCAGTCAAGAAACAACTACAAACCAAGAGAAGAGAAATCATGCCAGAAGATTTAATTACCATGCTTAAATCTTTGAACTGTAGCATTGGAAACAGCTGATTTTCAGGTGAAGCCGCTGCATTGCCACAATTGAACTGACGGGTAGGAAGCCTGAGTCACCTCTGAGGACTTACGATGTTCAAGAAGAGGTGTTAGGGAAAGAGATGCTGGTGGGGGTAGGGATGGGCTGTGGAACAGGAGGAAGGCAGATGGATGCTCGGAGAGCTCCATCTCCTGAGAAAAGCCGTAAGAAGGTCACCAAGCCTGAGCACCCACGCACCGACCCGGCTGCCAGGAGAGCCACCAGCAGAGGAGAGGGAAGTGAATGAGCACGGAGGTGAAGAACTGAGATCCTCCGTAAAGACCTACAGACTCTCCATCCTCTTGAGACACCACGAGGGGACAGAGGAGGAGAAGAGCTTCCCAAGAGCAACGCAGATGTCCCCACCCAGGTGCTGGCTGGCCCATCCCGCAAAGGAATGATGCTCTGGCTCGTAGGAGCCTGGTCCTGAGCTGGACCAGGCTCGGGAGCAAGGAGGGAGCACACTCTGCATTTAGCAAAGTGCTTCAGAAAGTCCAAGCTGACTGACAAGAAGCATAAAAGGAAAACCAAAGTGCCCAGAAGGCCATTAAACCAACCCAGACCATCTCCTGCACACAACGCTTACAAAGCTGATGTTTCTTTTATCCTTACTGAATTTATTTTGCAAGTCTCAGAGGTTACAGGTGCTGTGCTCTCACCGAACTAAAACCCAAGCATCATTTAGGGGTGCTGAACATGTGGCAGCAGTTCTTTTCCAACGTATCCAAATTCCTCCCTCATTTCCAAACGCTCAGAAGATTTCCCCCATTCCTCAAGTATTGCTGTGTGACATCCAGAATTGGTGGCAGGTAAGACTTGCACGGGTGTGCAATATTAACTACAAAATCAGTCTTAAACCCACAGAAATGGGGAAATCCTTTGGCACAAGAGCAAAGAGTCGCACAAACCTGCCGGCTGACGCTGCACACAACGAGCCTGGTGTCTGCATGTGTAACCGCACGATATTTCTGGATAATGGTGCTACCCTGAAAACAGCTTCAGCAGGAGATTATGTTTTCAAACGCACACAAAAGACTTTAACGCGCTGTCTTGAAAACAAGGAGTGGCTTAGGAGATCTCGCAGATTTTTACAAGCACTTTACAAACTGTATTTAAACTGGGATTAAAGTTTACACGGCGTTTCAAGCTAAGTAACACAAGTTTCGTTACCGTGGCACGGAGAGATGAGCAAATACTTGATGTATGTGCTGGGAAGTGTTTTTACCAGCTTTGCAAAGTTGTTTCAGATCTTCGGGTTGTATTCCTCTTCAGGAAGAAGGGGAAAAAATCATTTTTTATTTAAAAAAAAAGAGCAGACCCATGCATTACGGGGCAGGGTACTTCATCTCCGCTGCCCACTGCCGTCCCCAGGCTCCAGGAGCCTTCATTACTCACCTCCGAACAAACACCTTCACTAAAATTAAGATGAAGCATGGCAACCATAAAGTTTAGCGGAGCCTTGCGTGTTGTTTTTTGGTTTGGGTTTTTTTTTTTCTTTTTCTTTTCATCATTTACTTGCGCCCTTCTGACACATTCTGTTATTTAAAACACTGCTTGTGCCAATCCCTCATCCCTGACCGCAGTAGGAAGCGCGCTGCTAGCCCGCTGTGATTTTTCTTCATTACTTCCAACAGACACTTTGGAGTTTTTGCTACGACCGAGTAGTTCTGATGAGTTATTGAGCAGAAGACCCAAGATGGAAGCAGAGGATGAGAAAGGAAAGCTCGGCAGCCGGGGACGGGGCTCCTCACCCTTCTTGGAAGAGCAAGAGAAAATCCCAATGAGTAGCTGGTGTTTGCGCATCAGCAGGAGTTTGCATAGAGGGATGCAACTCTTGGAGGAGCCTTGGAGACGCTCAACCCCAGGTGAAGTCAAAAAGTGCCCCCCCCCCCCCCC